TTGTGCAGACTCAGCAGTTCCTGTTACACATTCTCGTTATACAGTCTGACAGCAGCAGGAAGGAAAGACCTACAAAACCTCTCCTTCACACATCGAGGGTGAATTAGTCTGTCACTGAAGCTGCTCTCCAGAGCAGAGGGAGTGTCCTGCAGGGGGCGACAGTCATGGTCCAGCATAGATGTTAGTTTGCTCAGGACCCTCCTGTCCCCCACCTGCTGCACTGGGTCCAGGGAACAGCCCAGGACTGAGCTGGACTTCCTGATGACCTACCTGCTGTGTGCTGCTGCTCTGCCTCCAGCGGCGGCTTGAACTGTCGGGCTCTGACCTCCCTCCGGTCCCACAGAACCTGTCGGACCAGTTTGCTCTGAAGTGGTTCAGATTTCCTTTGTGGGTGTGTGTTTGTACTGTCGTTTAGTTAAATAAGACTAAATAAAGTGTTATTCAATTCTGAATGTTGGTCCTAAATAATGTGTTACCCCTTTCTATGCTATTAAAGGCCATTTAATCAAACATATTAAATCTTGGTTTTATGTTACACTCATTTACTCGGCCTGGATAGGACCAGGACCAAGAGGATCTAAAGAAGGACCTGGGACCTATTGAACAGAGCTAGTGGAAACTCTCCCAAATGGAGTAGAAGAGAGAGAGAGAGAGAGAGAGGAACCAGTTGAGAGAGAGAGAAGAGAGAGAGAGAGAGAGAGAGAGAGAGAGAGAGAGAGAGAGAGAGAGAGAGAGAGAGAGAGAGAGAGAGAGAGAGAGAAGGGCCAACTTGGGCTGGTGGAAACAGAGCTTATGTAAATGTATTGGGGAGTTCCACAAGGTTCGATCTTGGGCCCATTATTCTTTTTTACAGACTTCCTCTTGGTCTGATTTTGATGATTCACTCAGAGCCGCAGATCAGGATTATGAGCTGTTGTTTTTACACTTTTGGAACATGGAGAAAAGCTCAAACTGAAGTAGATTTGTGCGTCTCGCTGTGTCTCCGGTTTATTTGCGTCTCAATGCCACATCTGAACCGTCTCAGATCAGAGGGAAGTAAAAAAGGTCACAGCAGGTTTCCGCACAAGTGGAGCAGCGTCTGAACCTCGTGCCTCAGACTCCGACTCATCTGACTTTGTAATCGTGGATTTGTTTTCGACTGATTCTGAAGAAGGCGGCGATGCTAAGGTAAAGCTGAGGTACCTAGTTTCATAATGTTTGACAGAAACATCCAAATCAGGCCACCTTCAATCTTCAATCCATCAATACATTTGTAGGCCACAATTTGTGTACAAGGAAAATCAAAGTGCTTCACAAGAGAAATGTTAAAATACTAATCAATATGCAATAAAAAAATCAAAAATCAAAAGGCAATGAATATACATGAATGTCATTAAAACAGAGTAGTATAAAAAGCACTGGGCTTAATGTGGGTTTAAAAATACACATAACATTTATAAACAATATATTATAGAATCATTTTCAGATTCAGATTCATTTATTTGCCATTTGCAGTAAAACCACATTGGAAAAACTGTGCAAGACTACCCCGGTGTGCTCCAGACGACACACACCAGAGCTCTTGCCACGGCGCCATCTTTACGGCGCCATGCGCAGCTAAAGTACTGTTTTCAGCCGAGTTTTGAGCATGGTCAGGGAAGAGGCCTGTCTCACAACCTCAGGAAGACGGTTCCATATCCTAGCTGCATAAATCTGAAATGTTGCCTCTACATGTTTTGTCCAACTCTGGGCACCAGCAGGAGGCCGGTCCCCGTGCTCCACAGAGTCCCAGCAGGAGGCCCAGTCCCCGTGCTCCACAGAGTCCCAGCAGGAGGCCAGTCCCTGCACTCCTCAGAGACCCAGCAGGAGGCCAGTCCCTGTGCTCCTCAGAGACCCAGCAGGAGGCCAGTCCCTGTGCTCCTCAGAGTCCCAGCAGGAGGCCAGTCCCTGTGCTCCTCAGAGACCCAGCAGGAGGCCAGTCCCTGTGCTCCTCAGAGTTCCAGCAGGAGGCCAGTCCCTGTGCTCCTCAGAGACCCCAGCAGGAGGCCAGTCCCTGTGCTCCTCAGAGACCCAGCAGGAGGCCAGTCCCTGTGCTCCTCAGAGTCCCAGAAGGAGGCCAGTCCCTGTGCTCCTCAGAGTTCCAGCAGGAGGCCAGTCCCTGTGCTCCTCAGAGTCCCAGAAGGAGGCCAGTCCCTGTGCTCCTCAGAGTTCCAGCAGGAGGCCAGTCCCTGCACTCCTCAGAGACCCAGCAGGAGGCCAGTCCCTGTGCTCCTCAGAGACCCAGCAGGAGGCCAGTCCCTGTGCTCCTCAGAGACCCAGCAGGAGGCCCAGTCCCCGTGCTCCACAGAGTCCCAGCAGGAGGCCCAGTCCCCGTGCTCCTCAGAGTTGGTTCATGTGGCACTAACCATGGACAGGCCATGAAGAGACTTGTAACAAGCAGATCTACTTTAAAGTCTATTAAAATAAGAAAACATGTTATCTTTTGTTTGAGAAAGCCCTGTGAGTCACTATTTGACTCTTTGGGCTGAGAGCTGATCTGGTGGTCCAGTCCTTCTCACTTTTTTGTCTGAAAAAGCTGATCTGAAGATGTGACAGAAGCCAAAAAATACATGAGTAGGAAAGTTGTTTTAGAGCCAGGAACAGAGAGCTCACAGACACAGGGAGAACATGCAAACTGCTCACACAGCTGATAGATTGACAGACAGAAGTGAGAACAGCAGGTACCAGGCTCAGACAGTCCCCTCTCCCTTTGGCGGTGGTGGGAAACACGGTGAATGTCAGGTTTTGAAGATTGTTTTGGCTCGATCCAGGACGTGACTGAAGAGCTCTCTCTCTGATCCCGGCGTTTTTATAACTCGTCAAAGAACCTTTCCGACAGCTCGGATCACAAACTTTGACAAGAATCGCAAAGTTTGAAAGAGAAAGCACCGTCTGAATGCTAACGAGGGCGCGGGGGGAGAAGATGAAACACCAGGAGAGAAAACCAATATTAAAAAGCAGGTTTTCATATTCAGGTCCACTTAATAATAATAATATATATAATAATAATCTTTATTTGTATAGCACTTTTAAAAACAATGTTTACAAAGCGCTGCACAGTCAGCATGATAAACAATAAAAACAGTCAAAATACAAGGTCAAAATAATTATATACAGAAACACAAAGCAAACAGAGCAGAACACAAAAGAGACACAACAAAGACAAAGCAGACATTAAAATACAGCATGTGAAGTTTAAAACTAACAGTTAAAAGCTGTTTGATAAAAGTGGGTTTTAAGAAGTGTTTTAAAAGAGGATACTGATGGAGCCTTATCTCCTCGGGCAGGTCGTTCCAAAGCCGAGGAGCCCGGACAGAGAAGGCTCGGTCACCTTTCGTCCGGAGCCTCGACTTGAGGTTTCTCCAGAGAGAGAGCGCGAGAGAGAAGGAGGAGCTCAGAGTGCAGCTGCTGCTCCCCCACAGGTACCATCAAACCACATGGATGAATAGAGCAAGCTAATGTCAGATTGAGAATATGTATTGATTAGAGACGAGACATTTGAATCTGCCCCAGCACTTTGGTCATTGTGTGTTCCGGTGGCTGAGTGGTTAGCACTCGGAACACAGCCTTTCTTAGTGGGGTTTACATGTTCTCCTTTGTGTCTGTGTAGGTTTCCTCCGGGTGCTCCGGTTACCCCTAGCACAAAAAATATGTACAATGGGTCTGAATGTACATACAGTAAGTGAGAGAGTAAATGGATGGTGTTGGTCGGAGGCTTTGATGGACCAGTGTGTTTGGCGTCTCGTTTTCTGTCATCACCGTGAGTGAATGGAAAAGTACCTAATTTCTGGACATTGTGAAGCGCTTTGGGTGACCTCGGTCTGTAAAATGCGCTACATAAAAAATAAACATTACTTACTATTGTGGAAATACTATTTAATTTGTGGTCTTTTACTATGTAGTATATAGTGTTATAATCCTATTAGTATTTAGTATATTAATCCTTGCACTGATGGGTCTGTGCAATATACAACACAGCATGAGTCATGTGGTCTGTAATGCTTCTTCTCAGGGATCGGCAAAACCCCTAATGATTCTGTTCCATCACTGAAGCGCCGTCTGTAATAGAACATGCAAAGTACAGTTAAAGCAGCAGCAGTATTAGCAGCAGCAGTAGCAGCAGCAGCAGCAGCAACAGCAGCAGCAGTAGCAGCAGCAGCAGCAGTAGCAGCAGTAACAGTAACAGCAGCAGCAGCAGCAGCAGCAGCAGTAACAGCAGCAGCAGTAGCAGTAGCACCAGCAGTAGCAGTAGTAGTAGCAGCAGCAGCAGCAGTAGCAGTAGTAGTAGCAGCAGCAGCAGCAGCAGCAGCAGCAGCAGCAGCAGCAGCAGTAGCAGCAGCAGCAGCACCAGCAGCAGTAGTAGCAGCAGCAGCAGCAGCAGCAGCAGTAGCAGCAGTAGCAGCAGTAGTAGCAGTAGCAGCAGTAGCAGTAGCAGCAGTAGCAGCAGCAGCAGCAGCAGTAGCAGTAGCAGCAGTAGCAGTAGCAGTAGTAGCAGTAGCAGCAGCAGCAGTAGCAGCAGCAGCAGCAGTAGCAGTAGCAGCAGCAGCAGTAACAGCAGCAGCAGTAGCAGCAGCAGCAGTAGCAGCAGCAGCAGCAGTAGCAGCAGCAGCAGCAGCAGTAACAGCAGCAGCAGTAGCAGCAGCAGCAGTAACAGCAAGATCACATGGAGCGAGGTCTGAGCCTCTCTCAGTTCTTTTCACATTTGCACCACGGCCAACTTTCATATTTTATCTATGTTGATTTAAACCAGGGGTCCCAAACCTTTTTCCTTTGGTGAGTACTTTTATAAAACAGAAATGTCAGACAGCAAGTTTTTTGTCATACTTTTGTAGTGTGTAGGACAATCCTGGAGAGTTATTGGCCCTTTGAAACGTGCTGATGTCACATGAACGCAGACTGTTGCTGAATCCCTGTCATGTTTACATTTGCTGCTGCTGATTAAAGCCATTTTACCCTTTTGTCTTTCCCTCAGATTTCTCATCATGAATTCCTCGGACTTGTACCTTTTGAATCTTTGCGATAACATCTTCCTGTCCTGGAGTTTCGTCAATACTTTCTCTCTCCCGGTTTTCCTGGCGGTGATCGTTTTGGCGTTGCGCTCTTCGAGCCGCAGCCACACAGACGTCCTCACGCTCCACATGGCGGCCGTGGAGCTGGTGGGAGTCCTGGGCTCCGGCTTCTGCATCTACTCAAGCATCAATCTCCACCACATTCTGTCCTATGCAGGAGAAAACCTGCTGTATATGGCCACGCTGGGGCAGTCGCTCTTTCACCTCCTGGTGTGTGGTTTTAAAATGAATTATTAATTATTATTAACATAATCCGACTCTAAACGTGTGTCCAAAACGCAAACACGCTCCCCCCTAGATTGCAACCATGGAGGCTTGTGAGGGAATTTGTATAGTATTTGTTTTCTCTTTATGTTCCTGGTCGGGGTCTTCCATGGCAAACAAACCGGGCCCCCCCCCCTGCAGCCAGACCTGGGGTTGGGGCTCGTATGTGAGCTCCTGCTGGCCAGGCTTTCAGCCACGAGGCTTGGATCAGCCCAAAAGGACGACATGGGCCAGCCCTCCTGTGGACTCACCACCTGCAGAGGGATTCGTGGGAATATGGTGCAGAGAGGGCAGAGACCGGTCCGTGCACACGTCATCTGGTTGGTGGGCCGTAACCTCACTGGGGGGAAGGACCCCGAGCTCGTGGGGGAGGTTGAGAGATACCGACACACAGCTTGGTCTCTGGAACCCAACTCCTTGAGAGGGGTTGGATGCTTCACTTTTCTGGCATTTCCTGCAGTAAGGGGGAGTGGCCATACACATTGAAGTAAACAAAACTTAAAAGCAACAGAGAATAACACACAAATAAACCAGTGCCGCACCCTCAAAGACAGCAAGGCCTTCTCTGCTGATCTAAACACAATCAGGAATATACTTTTTTCTTTTTGCACAAATCTAAATGCCACAGCTGTAGTCTTCTGGTGCTGATGCTCAATAGTGCCTATATTCTTTCTTAGCCGGTTCTGAACAGTGCATTTGTGGACCCTAACCCATCTCTCTGTTGTTCGGCCTAATGGTGGCTTGGGTCTGGTCTTGATCTGGTCCTGGTCTGGGTGCTTCCCTGATCGTCTCATATCGAGAGTCTATGGTAACAGAAGTAGCACTTTGTAAATGAACCCTGAGCTTTGATCTGGTCCTTTGGATGATGAAGGAAGAACACATGTGTAATCCGGTGGACTGGGATGGCATGTGTTTTGTTTGCATGTTTTTTTGGTTTGCTGTGTGTTTTCTTTCATGCCTCCCAGTCGCCGTGGTTACCCGGCACACCTGCCTGCACCTGATTGCAAATCAGGACACCTGTGTCTGGGGTGGCTGTATAAAGAGACCATGCAAGGAGAGAGAACAGAGAGATCAGACGCGACACCGGGGAGCGGACGCGCAGCGAGGGGAGGCGAGCCCGGAAGGAGAGACCAGCGTGCACCGGGCCAGCACCATGGCACCCACGCTCTGGACCTCCGCACCACGACGAGAACTACACAGAGGCAGGGCATTTGGACCCTGCCCTGCCGGTGAGTTTTGCTCTTGTGTAGACGTGGTGTATGGAAGCCTTGGGCTGAAGGGGGGATCCTGGGTGCTGTGCGTGGCTGGCCCGTGTGTGTGCTGTGCGACAGGGCTGGAGCTCGCCGCTGGACCCGGGCGCCCCGTAGAAGGGGAGTGAGGCGGCGCAGCGTTCGGGCCGGGAAGAGAGGCGAGGGACCGGAGGCAGCGAGCACCACCAGCAAACAAGTCAGAGGATGCAGCGGGAGAGCGGGGAGCTCCCCCTGTCCGTGAGTACCGCTCAACCGCTCTAGCTCCCGCTGCATCAAGCGGCCTCAGGCCTGGGCTTCCTGGTGGGTGTGAGCGGGAGAGCTGGCCCTCTGCCTCTCCATTGCAGGTACGATGCTAGCAGCTGCGCGCGCGGAACCCCCCCCCTGATGCCGTGGGAGTGCTGCCCTTCGTCCATCTGCCGGGCGAGAGGACCAGGCCCTTTGGACCGCCATCATTTTATCATTTTATCGTTTATTATTTTTTAATCCCTTTTTTAATTACTATTTTATCCATTTTATATTGTATTAAACATGATTTTAATTCATTTTAACTTCTGGTTTTATTGGAAACGCCCAGCTCTTTTAATCCATAAATTATTTTTTTTGGGACCTTTTCTGGCAGTTTTTAATCTACCTTTTTAATGTCAATACCTCAAAACCCCCCATTATCACACATAGACCTGGAACAGCTGAGAGACAAGTGTGGAATACTTTTGGAGGAAAGTGGGCAGAACTAATACATAACTCCTAAAGTGTTCAGCTGCTTTGGTGTGAAAACCTCAGACTCCCAGAAGTTATGGTTTTGGTCCTAACGTGTCTTCTCTCTGCAGGTCTGTCTGGAGCGGTACTTGGCCGTGCTTCATCCCATCTCATACTTACACTTTAAAAACAGCACGGTGCTGACCCGGAACATCTGCATTGCATGTTTGTGGCTCTTCAGCTTTGCCATGGCCTGTTTGTACTTCCTCAGATCGCAGAGCCTCTTGGCCGTGATCTCGGTGCTGACGATCGGCTTCTCGCCTGCGTCCTGTGCGCGCTGATGCGTCCTGCGCCTGGGAAAAGGGGCGGGAGGTGAGTGTCTGTGGACCATCAAAGCGCAGGGCTTGCTACACAATGGCGGTGATCACGGCCGCGCTGTTGATGAACCTCGTGGGACTCTTGGTTTCAGAGGTGAAGGTCACTGATTCTGTGAAGTGTCTCACGATGGCGTCTGCGCAGTGGTTCAACATCCCCAGCGGTCTGGTCCTGCCGCTCCTGTTCCATCGACGCATCACTCAGAGAAACACCACCAGAAATACTCCAGAGTGACAGAGGAGGCTGGCTCTGGGATAGCTCCGCTCCACTCTGACCACTACGATGGACCCGCTGCAGTTTGCATACCGGCCGGGCATTAAAGTGGCGCCATCATCTCCCTCCTCCACCACTCGCTGTCCCACCCGGAGAAACCCGGCTCCACTGTGAGGATCCTCTTCTTTGATTCCTCCAGTGCCTTCAACACCATCCAGCCGAGGCTTCTCATGAACAAGCTGGAGACAGCTGGAGTGAACTACGACCTGTCCGAGTGGATCCTGGACTACCTCACAGACAGACCCCAGTTTGTGAGAACCAGGGACTTTGTGTCTGAGGTCCTGACCTGCAGTGTGGGGGCCCCCCAGGGAACTGTCCTCGCACCGTTCCTCTTCACCCTCTACACTGCGGACTTCAGACACGACACGGACGGTTGTGTCCTCCAGAAGTTCTCAGACGACTCTGCCATCATCGGACTCAGCTCCGAGGACGATGACACAGAGTACAGAAGAGTTATACAAGACTTTGTGGACTGGTGTCAGCGGAACCACCTCCTCATCAACGCGAGGAAGACCAAGGAGATGGACCACCTCCTCATCAACGCGAGGAAGACCAAGGAGATGGACCACCTCCTCATCAACGCGAGGAAGACCAAGGAGATGGACCACCTCCTCATCAACACGAGGAAGACCAAGGAGATGAACCACCTCCTCATCAACGCGAGGAAGACCAAGGAGATGGTGGTGGATTTCCGCAGACGTCTGTTCTGGAGAGCAGCTTCAGTGTCGGATCAATCCACCCTCGCTGTGTGTCGATGTGGACTAACGAACTGTTGACCTGACCGCTCATGTCGTGCATCTGTGCAATACTTTGAACTATTGTCAGAATGTGCAAAGTAGAACCACGTGTCATTCTCACTGTCATGCTAACACCTACAGATGCTAACACCTACAGATGCTAACACCTACAGATGCTAACACCTACAGATGCTAACACCTACAGATTTACTGCAGTAGAATACACCGTGCTTTATTCTTTCTTTTTAATATGCTAAAGTCAGAGTTTTTGTACTCATTATGATTGTATAGAGATTTTCTACTTGTTTCTATTTGATGCTAGAGTTAGAGGTTTTATGTATTTTATTTTAGTTCAGAGTTATTGTTCATTTATCTTGTGCCGTGTGCTCCTCATTCCTACTGTTCTGTAACTGCTGATGCAACACCGACATGTCTCTTCAGACTGGGGTCTGCAGCCTTCAAAGCGGCTGTGGTGAGACCCCTTCTGAAGAAGAGCAATTTAGATTTTAATGATTTTAACAACTACAGACCGGTATCCAACCTGCCATTTTTAAGCGACATTTTAGAAAAACTTGTTTTTACCCAGCTCAATGCCTTTTTAGATCAGCAACAAATTTTAGAGAAATTTAAATCAGGTTTTAGGTTGAACCACAGCACAGAGACTGCTCTTTTAAAGATTTTAAACTATTTTAGACTAAATTATGATTCTAAAAAGGTGACCGTGTTGGTTCTACTAGATCTAAGCGCTGCCTTCGACACAGTAGACCACACCATTCTTTTATCACGCCTACAACACCTCGGCCTCTCTGGTGCTGTCCACAAATGGTTCACTTCTTATTTAAAGACCTTATGACGGGTTTGATTTCTTTAGAAATACAGTTTTAATACCATTTTATATTAGAAGAGAACTACTAAAGGTTTCAAAATCAGTTGTTGTTTTTTTTGTCTGATCCCCCCCAAATCGAAATAACCCCATAGCAACGCCCTTAGAGACGAAAAAACTTCACAGCCCTTGGTGACGTCAGAGTGGGTACGTTTCAATGCTGTAAGTTGTTTACAATTTGGTATTCGTTCTTTTTTTGCGGATATTCAAGATGACAAGGCCGTGTACAGCGAGTCTAAGAAAACTACTAGATGGTAACATTTCGTTGTAACTGAGATAGTCCAGTGGTTGTGTCAATGGACTGCCAATCCAGATACTTGGGTTCAAATCCCACCTCAGACACTTTTTCACTCTCAAACGGCAATGTATGTGTAGTGAGCAATTGTCACCTGTAGAGGGCAGTATTGTGTTGGGCATCAGTGGAGAGAAGAGAGAAAAGGCAGTCCTGTGGCATAGATCCATGGTTTTCAATGCATGGGCGTTACCCGCTGTGACGTCACACACAGGTTAGAGCATAGACAACTTAAATTCATGAAAAACACGTTCTTTTTAAAAAATATAGGATTTTTTTTGCCGGAATCTCTTTCAAATTGACATTGTCATGCAATTTTGATATCCACTATATTTTTTTTTAAAACCCGTCATAAGGTCTTTAACAGACAGATCCTTCATGGTGAGTTTGGGTCCTGCTCCTCTCAGGTCCATAAAATCACATGTGGTGTGCCCCAGGGTTCCATTTTAGGTCCAGTCCTTTTTAACCTGTACATGCTCCCTCTTGGTGGTGTCATCGGGAGACATGGAATTAACTTCCACAGTTATGCAGATGATACACAGCTGTACATCTCCTGATGATACACAGCTGTACATCTCCATGTCTCTGATGATACACAGCTGTACATCTCCATGTCTCTGATGATACACAGCTGTACATCTCCTGATGATACACAGCTGTACATCTCCATGTCTCTGATGATACACAGCTGTACATCTCCATGTCTCTGATGATACACAGCTGTACATCTCCTGATGATACACAGCTGTACATCTCCTGATGATACACAGCTGTACATCTCCATGTCTCCTGATGATACACAGCTGTACATCTCCTGATGATACACAGCTGTACATCTCCTGATGATACACAGCTGTACATCTCCTGATGATACACAGCTGTACATCTCCTGATGATACACAGCTGTACATCTCCATGTCTCCTGATGACACCAGGCCAATGGATGCTCTTTTTAACTGCATTTTAGACCTGAAATCCTGGAAGGCAGAAAACTTTCTCCAGCTTAACCAGGACAAAACTGAGGTTTTAGTCATCGGTCCTGAGGCCCAGAGAGAGAAACTTTTATCAAAACTCCAATCACACTCTTTTAATCCATCATCACAAGTGAGAAACCTGGGCGTAATCTTTGACTCTGAGCTGACTTTTATTCCTCACATCAAGAACATCACAAAATCACAAAAATAGGTTTTTATCATTTAAAGAACATGGTCCGCCCCATTCTCTCTCGGGGCAACACGGAGACGCTGATGCTTTTATCACCAGTCGCATTGACTACTGTAATGCCCTGCTCTCTGGGCTTCCCAAAAAGAATATTTCAGGTTTACAATTTACTTCAAAACTCGGCCGCACGTGTCCTGACTAAGACCAGGGGGCGTGTCCTGACTAAGACCAGGGGGCGGGGCCTGACTAAGACCAGGGGGCGTGTCCTGACAGAGAACATTCATATTTTTAAGAGTAGGCTCAAGACGCACCTGTTTAGAGTAGCTTTTGATTAGTATTGATTATTTATTATTGCTTTTTAGTACATCTATTTATGTTTTTAGACACATTCTATTTTTATTTATGTTTTACTATTTTTATTGTATCTACCCATCTACTAGTAAGTAAGTAAGTAAGTAATCTTTATTTATATACCGCCTTTTCACTGCACATCGGAGTCTCAAAGCGGTTTACAATTGTGATTTTTTGGGAGTGGGGCCAGTACAGGAGGCACATGCCAGACTATTGTACATATTTTTAGTGGTAGGGGAAACCGGAGCACCCGGAGGAAACCTACACAGACACGGGGAGAACATGCAAACTCCACTCAGAAAGGCCCTGGTCCAACCGGGATTCGAACCCAGGACCTTCTTGCTGAGAGTGCTAACCACTCAGCCACCGTGCCGCCGGTTAATATTATTATCAATATTAGGCAGCTGCCATTTTTCTTTTTAGTGTCTCATTTTATTGTTCTACTTTCTATTGTATTATTGTATTGTTTTAGTATCCCCAGTGTTTCCTCTGGAGGAGCCCTCTGCACTGAGAGCTGGGGTCTGCTGTGGCTTCGGGGGTCTGGCTCATGGATCCGGTGGGGGTCTGGGGCCCCTCTCTCCTCTGGGTCCTGTGTCGTTCCCCGCGGCTGCAGCCGGCTCTCTGCTCCTGGTGCAGATGGCTCCTTGGATGGCGCTTCTTCAGCCGGTTACATCTGCACCCAGCCCTATTTCTATTTATTGTTTTACCTATTTTACCTGATATGACTTTATGTGTGTGTGTGTGTGTGTGTGCGCACTTTGTGTTACACTTTTTGTATGAAAAGCGCTTTATAAATAAAATTTGATTGATTGATTGATGTCCTCACTGTGGGACTAACAAAGGCTCTCTTCATCTAAATCTGTTTGTGTTTTCAGTCTCGTGGTCTCCTCGAGTTTGGTCTAAAACCCGACAGTGTCTCGTGCTCCTAACGACAGGTCACTGATGAGCGCCCGGTTCATTCTCTCAAACCTCAGAGACTCAGGCCACAGTAAAAACTGTTCATCACTGTTTAAACGTTTGGGGCGATTCTGCAAATCACCACAAGAGGGCGGTGGTGCTTTGCTTTAGATTCAAACAGGCTCTTGATTTCTATGGTTCTTTTGAAAGACAAGTTAAATATAATACCTTGTTAATGTTTCAAAAGAAGCACATTTCCTATTGTTTTTATTTTACTGATAAATAATGTCCACATATTCAGTCTTAACAAGAGATGGCTTCACCTGTTTGAATATATTCATGTGTGTATTGATTCATTACGTGTGAGAAGGAATATTTCTAAACACAAAGAAGTTTATCTTATTTAAATCCCAGTCACTCTCTCACTGCAGTTCCGCACACGGCCACACGGGAGAGCTGCTCACCTTTGTTTTGGGGAGATTGAGTTTAGAACGTTGCATTCTTCAGGTTATTATTGTGTATCTTTATGTATTTGTAAATTAACTTCATGTATTTAATTCTATCTTTAAATTATTCTATTTTTAAGTCATAATAAAGTCTCTG